AGTTGTATTTTGATATTTTGAAAAATACTATCAAATTATTTCTTCAAATATATTTATTTTTAAATAGTGATGAATTATACTTTTTTTTTTTTTTTTTTTTTTTTGGTGGGACCCTCGCTGGAGGCCGGGGAATGAACCGTCGCTGCAGAGGCTGCGGGCAGCCTCGCAGCCCAGCGCTCAACCTCTGCGCCACCAGGGAAGGCCTGATGGATTATACTTTTATTAGCATTTTGAACAAAGAGAAGCTTTTCTAAATCATATTATTTATTTATTTATTTTAAGATTTATTTATTTATACAAGCACTAGGTACAGTCAGAAGCGCGGGAGGGTGAGAGAATTCACCAGAGCCAGAGCCAGAGCGGGGAGCAGAGCAGGCAGACTGATGAAGTACACTGCTGAGGGGAGCAGCGGGCGGTAGGAGAGGTCTGCAGCGCCATGTGGGACCCTCACCCAGCGGTCGGGGATCGAACCGGTGCTGCAGAGGCTGCGGGCAGCTTCACAGCCCAGCGCTCAACCCGCTGCACCACCGGAGAGGCCCAAAATCATATTATTTATAGTGTTAGTCAGGTAAGTTAAATACAGTCATCCAAGACTTGATCTTCCCTTGCCCCACCCCCCCCTCTGGCCCCCCACACCTTGTCATTCAGGTCTCAGCTTAAACCTCACTTCCTCAGAGAGACGCTGGCCACTCCGCCCGCACCCGCCGCCTTCCGTGCCTCCTCTTCAAAGCCCATCATCTCTGAAAGGGTCTTGTTTCTTGTCATCCTTCAGTGCTCCTTTCTGCTTCCCCCTAGGACTGTATTTCCCCACCTCTTTCCCCTTATTAGCCCCGCAAGCTCCTAGGAGACTTTTAAAACCCCTTTGTGCTAATTGTCCTCCCATCTGAATCCCACTGCTGCACTGCGTATGTCTTTACGTAGCGTGGCCCTGTGGAGAGCCGCGAGCCGCAGTACCCAAGAATTCTGTGCTTTGCCCCCTTGGGGGTAGTATCACCCGTTGAGAAAGCCTGGCGGTGGAACACACACTCTGGGAAGGCAGCGCCTCGGTTGTCTTGTCCACTGGCGGTCTCCAGAGCCCATCTTGGGCCGTGGGAGGTGCTTGATACTTGCCGAAGGGGTGAGTAAAAGTCTGGACTCTGGGAGCACAAAGGAGCCTTTCATTCCGGAGTCGAGGGCGAGATAGCAGAGAAGGTCTCTTGGAAGATGGGCTCCAAGTGGAGTCTTGTAACCTGAATAGGGGTGGGCTAGCTGAGGGAAGGTGGAGGAGTATAGAGGGTGACCACTTGGGGGTCACAGTGTTGGCACCTGCACAGGGGCACAAAGCAGGCTGGAGCACGTGGGGTGAGGCCATTCCACCCACAAGGCAGGACCTTAAAAGTGGTCACAGCCTTGGCTTCTGGGAATCTTGGTTCTTATTCACAGATCTCAAGGGCCCCTGTACCAAATCAGGAGACCCCAATTATTCCTAGTCCAGGCTGTGCCACAAACTGGCTGTGTGAAACTAGAATGAGCAGGTGGGTTGGCCTTGCTGACTTGTGGGATCTACCTTGCTAGGAATCCATGATTCCGCTCCAGTGACCCTGAAAATTCCTGCAGGGAACCCCCAAAGTGGTGGTCACAGTGACAAAGAGAAATTCCCTGCATTTTGCTCTAACTCATACGCTGGAAGCAGACAATCTCTCAGGCCTGGGTCTCCTGGATACCTGTGACTTCAGAGACCCCTCTGCAACCCACCTTTACCCCTCACTATGCCCTCTCTGGCCTAAACCACTGGGAGCCACTGAGGAGCAATGGGGGCTTATCTCTGCTTTTCCAGACTGGGCTGCTCTGCAATCCTGTTTATTTATCCAGAGCAGTCGCCTGCTGAGAAAATGGCTGTGTTTGTTTCCAAGTGTGTCGTGTGAACCGTGGGCTAAATATACCCACACCACTGCCTCCCCGGCACCCGCCCTGGAACAGCACGCCCCATTTTGTTCATGTTCTCTCTGCAAAAGCAATCCCCAGAATCCATGGCCCTTGGGAATCTGCCTCCCCTCCCCCGGAGAAGGAGCTCCTAAAGTAGAGATGAAGGTTGTCCTGGCCAGGAATGCACACATGGGGGCTGGGCAGATCAGAGCCTTGTTCTCTATGGTGCCGAACTGAGAATGTTCCCTCCACCCTGGAATGACTGTTCCTGGACAGTGAGTGCTTTGTGTCCTTGGAGGGACAGAGCCTGTTTACTCCAGCCCAGCCCCAGAGCCGAAAATTTCCTGTGGCTGCCAGCCCTCTGCTTCAGGAAAGTTCCCATACAGGGAGCCAGGCCTCTCACTTTGGCTGCAGCCCCAGTGTCACTGGTTTCTTGTGGGACATTTGGCCCCTTGGGATCAGCAGGGCCTTCTGGCCCTGGCGTCATTTCTCTGGTGCTCCCACAGCCCAGCACTGTCCCCTATCACAGATCAATCTTGTTTGTGGCTTTACCTGCGTCTACTTCACTTGGGGCCGGAAAAGTAAAAACTTCCCTAAGAATTTTCTTGTCTGCCAAGACCTGTGGAGGCTCACCGGGTGAAGAGGGAAAGCTAGGGAAGCAGATCTGTGCCGGCTGTGTATGGCAGAATTAGGAGGTTAGCTGCTGCCACCAGCCACTGCCCTGTTCTCCCCAGGCCCAGGTCCCCACCTCAGCTGCACCCCCACATCCCTTTTCCATTGAGCACTACTGATAGGACGGGTTCTCCTGGCCCCACATGGGGAAAGCGGGCTGTGGCAGCACTGCTTTTGGAGCCATGCAGTCCTGGGCTGGTCCTGGTCCTACCACCTGTTAGCAGGGTGACCCCAGGCAAATCTCCCTACTTTAAACCTCTATTGTCTTATCTGTCACATGGGGCTCAGATTTCTACCTCCGGGGAGGCTGATGAAAATGAAATAGGATAGCAACACCCGCACTTAGACGTGTAGTCCCTTCCTGCGCCTGTTTTTATTGAGCACCAGCTAGGTGCCAGGCGCTGCTGTAGGCACTGGAGAGGAAACTGTTTCACTGCCCTCATCAGCCACCTCCAATGCAGAAGACAAATCAAAATAATAAAAGTGTAGAATCTGCTTATGGAAAGTGCTGAGGACCTCCCTGGTGGCGCAAGGAGTTAAGCACAGCACTATCTGCAGCCTCTGCAGCACAGGTTCGAGCCCTGGCTGGCCAGGGAGCTACCCACTTGGCGCAGCAGACCGCTCCTATCTCGCCCACTGTTCCCCTCAGCAGTGTATTTCAGTCAGTCTGCCTGTTCTGTTCTCCACTGTCTCTGGTGAATCCTCTCATTCCCCGCACTTCTGGTCTGTACCCCAGTTCTTGTATGCATTAAGTAAATAAATCTTAAAAAAGAAAAAAGAAAAGTGCTGAGAAGAAAGAGAAAACAAAGTAAGGGACAGGTAGAGCAAGGTAGGGGCAGGTGCCATTTTAGATAAGGTGGCCAGGCAAGGCCCCTCTGGGGAGATGGCATTTGAGCAGTTGGGAGCGAGGCTGGGGGTGGGGGTAGATAATCTAGGGTCAGGTGCTCCTGGCAGCAAACAGTAAGCTCCCGAGCTCAGCTGATGTTCAGAGAAGAGCAAGGTTGGTGTGACTCTGCCACGGGGAGGGGCCAGCTCCCGCTGGCCTTGCTGGCATGGCAAGGAGTGAAGGCTTCATTCCCAGTGGGAGGGAAAGCCTGGGGAAGGCTGAGAGCTTGGGGTGACTCTTGATGGAGGGGCTTTCCCTGCCTGCCGGTTTTCCCCTGAGACGGTAAGGGCTCTGGCTTATGGTCCCTGTGGCCTCCCTCTGGCTTCATAAATGTTGAGGATTCTGCCGTCACCATGGCAGGGATCTGAACAGATGAGGCCCTGGCTGTCCAGGTACAGGGAGGAACTGGTAGAAGACGAGGCACCAGGCATGGGGCCAGGCAACTGTCACAGCGAGCACGGTGGTCTGGTGGGATCTGGGGCCCACTGGAAATGCCAGGCCCTGTCTGAGGGAGCAGCCACTACTCAACCCGTTGGAACTAAGTGGCAGTGCAGGCCTGGGGGAGAGCTCTTGTTGTAGAGGCACAAACTCGGAGCTCCGGAACCAGCCAGTGCCCCGTTCACTCCCTGGACACACACAGCGCACTGACCTTGAAAGCCTGGCTGGGATGCTGGTTTCATCACTGACCAAACTGGGTGATCAAGTCCTTTGACGCTCAGAGAACCAACTTCCTAGTGCATAAATGAGGGTAGACAGCCTGACTTGCAGTGCTGTTGACAGGATTAAATGACAAATGGGGTGCAAAGCTTACTCATTAAAGCCAAGCTCCCCTCTGGCTGCCCCATCGGCAGGCTTTGCCCTGGGCTGGCTGGTTCACCTGTAGCCCCCATGCCATGGGCCTCCGTGCTGACGAGCTTCATGGCGGGCGGCTGCTGCTCACCTCCTCCTGGGCCTGGAGTCCTGCCCTGGAGTGAGGGACAGGGGCAAGGCCTCATAGACCCCATCCCAGACCTGCATCTCTCTGCTTCTCTGCCCACCCATCAACCTGCCTGGCCCAGTGCTCCCTCCAGAGGAAGAAGGAGCCTCTGACTGAGTCCCAGGCCCCTCTGCCCCGAACCACTCTGGGAATTTACCCCTGGCCCTCTGCCCTCCCTCCTGCCCAGCAGGGGAGAGGCTGAGACCTGCTGGCTCCGCACAGCCCTCCCACTTGACTCCAAGCTCCTCCATGGCTTCCTGGCCACACACTGCTCAGCTCCCTGGCCCTGCCCATCTCTCTCCCACCTCAAGTCCACTCCCCAGCGCTCCAGCCTCAGAGCGCGCCTGTTCCTGCACCTGTTCTCTCAGCAATAAAATAACTTGGGCCCCCAGGTAGTAGCCAGAAAGAAGGCAGCCCTTTACCCTTTATCTCGCCCCGAGTGGGACCTGATGGCTGCAGTTTACGAGTCAGCCAGGACGCTGCGTGCAGATGGCCCCTCTCCCCCACACCCCACACTACTGTTCAGCACTCAGACAGCATCTTCCTTCTCTCTCCCTCCAGGATACTTTTGTGGATCTCTATGGGAACAACGCGGCGGCCGAGAGCCGGAAGGGCCAGGAACGCTTCAACCGCTGGTTGCTGACGGGCATGACTGTGGCCGGCGTGGTTCTGCTGGGCTCACTCTTCAGTCGGAAATGACCAGACACTGACCACCCACTCACCCTCCCACCCCCTCCTGTCCCCACCACATCCTCCATCTAGCCACCATTGCCACCAGGAGAACCACTACACGCAGCCCACGGCCGCCTACCCACCCATCACAGGGTTGGGCCTAGACCTGGTCCCCAGCAATTAGTTTTCTAGAATTTACCACGCTTCTGTGAGAGCTGCCCTCACCCTCACTTCAGTTCTCCTGGGCTCAAAACCCAGTTTCCCCCAAATCTGCCCCATGGAAGCTGGCAGGCATAAGGGTAGTGGCTGGGGGCTGGAGGGCCCTACCGATTTGGTGGAACCCCCTTATCCCTTAGCTACCCCAAGAATGCTTTCCTGCCAGGGAGATGGAGAGTTTTCTGACCTTTTTCCCAGAAGGAGAGACTAGATTGCCTTCGTTTTGATGTTTGTGGCCTCAGAATTGATCACTTCCTACCCTCCCACCCCAGGACCTGGGTTCCCTTCCTTTCATTCCCCACTCCCCAAAGCCACTTAGGGGCCACTTCTGACTAATTAGGGATTCAGGCTGCTTAGGAAAAGAAGCAAGAATCAGGACCCCCTCCTCACCCCTGACCTGGCCAAAGTTCCCCCCCCCCCCCCGCCCCATTCCAGTCTCCTCCAGAGACCTCTGGCTAGAGGCCAGCCCCACCCAGAGGGCAGGGGCTTTAGCTGCAGGACGCACCCATGCCAAAGCTTGGGTGGCCCTTGCAGTTTAGCACCATCCCAGTTCCCTTCCCCTCCCCTGGCTCCCATGACCTCCACTGAGGGACCAACTGGGCCCAAGACAGGTGCCCCAGAGCTGTTTATGGCCTCAGCTGCCGCATCCTGCACGGAGATCAGCCTGTGGCATCTTTGCCTTGGGCTGCTTGTTCATGGGGTCCAGGAGTTTAGGGGCCTTGGCCCAGAGGTGAAAAGAGCTACAGGGAGCAGCCGTGGAAGTCCTAGGGTCTTCCCTACCTCAGGCAGGAAGGGCAGGAAGGAGAGCCTGGTACAGGGGTTACAGGTGGGGCTGACTGGAGGGCCCAGTCCTGCCTGGCCAAACATTTTTGTCCCACCCCCTTCAGCCTGGGCAGCGCGCTGCCAAGGTCAGAGTGGCCTGGCCAGGAGCCCCTCAGGCCTCCCTCTCTCCTCTGCTCCACTCACGGCCTGTCTCATCCCTGGGGGTCCTGGCCTAGCCCTGGCTACCCCAGGCTCTCTGCTGTACATATTTGAGACTAGTTTTTATTCCTTGTGAAGATGATATACTATTTTTGTTAAGCGTGTCTGTATTTATGTGTGAGGAGCTGCTGGCTTGCTGTGCGTGTGCACGTGGAGAGCTGGTGCCCGGAGATTGAACAGCCTGACGCTCCCTCCCCTGCCCTGGTCCAGGGAAGCCACCTGGGGGTCCTGGCTCCTGAGGGGCACCTGTCCCTCCCCCAACCCCCACCCCACACTTGTTCCAGCTCTTTGAAATAGTCTGTGTGAAGGTGAAAGTGCAGTTCAGTAATAAACTGTGTTGACTCAGTGAACAAAAAGGCCTGGTCTCTCGTGTGCTGGGGGAGAGGGCTGCTTGATGCACAGAGCCTGCAGGCGAGCTGCTGCTAGGACTGGCTCTGCTACCCGCCTGGGGAGATCGAGGACACGTTCCTTCCCTGGGACCTGAGTTTCTCTACACTGGGGCTGGGTGCACAGGGTGGACACAGACCCCACCATCAGGAGCAGACAGTCTCGTGGGAGGAGCAGTGAAGGGGCCACCTGAGCCCTGCTCTGCACTTTCCTGGGCTTCTTGCCTTTACAGACTTCCATTCTAGTGGGGAGGCAGACTCTTAGCAGGGTGGCTCTGGCCATTGCAGGGCAAAGGTGAAAACGGGATAGCAGTGAGAAAACATGGCAAGACATGAAGGGACCTAGTGGGGAGGAGGTAAGACATTTCAAAGGTGTCTTCAGGGTATATTCCACGGGACTTGCTGATGGTTTAGAAATAGCTCTAAGAAGAAAAAAAAAGGGTGATTGGTGTTTAGAAATGGTGACATCATTACAGATATGAAATACATCTGAGACCAGGAGCTCAAATGGCATTTAATTTGGGACCTGAACTTGTTTGGGAGTATGCAGTCAGGGAGGGCTCCCTGGAGGAAGTGTAAGAATGAGGGAGGCAGAAACGGCAAATGCACAGGATAAGCGGATTTTCTTCAGGCTAAAGGAAAGTGTGCTGGAGTTAAGGGGGATCCTGGGTCAAGATGATGCCAGAGAGCTGGGGTGAGTGGACTGACTGCACTGGATCCTGAGGGCAGGAAGAGCCTGAGGGAGGGCACGTAGCGATCCGCCCCCTGAGAGTCTCCAGAGCGCCCTCTGGCGCGGCGTGGAGGGGATTCTGGAGGGGAAGTCAAGCGGGAACCTGGAGTTCAGCGCAGAAACCAAGGTTTGGTTAACACTCAGGTTCTGAGGGTGGCCTGGCCAGGCATGTCTCCTGGGTGACCATCCTGGTCACCTTGGACAAGTCACCTAGCCTCTCCACGCCTCAGTTTTCCCCTCTATAAAATGGGTCTGATGGCTTGACCCACCTCACGCAATTACGGCCAATATTGAACTTGGAGAAGTTCTTCAGCGGGGGCGGAGGGAGGGGGTGAGGCTACCCCATCATCGGGCAGGCTCCCCAGGAAGAGTGAGGTGCCCCCCTCCCCAGCGGAGTTCCACGTGGCTGCAGCAGAAGGTACCGCAGGGGCCTGGGAATGTGAGCGGGGACTTCAGCCTCTGCTGCGGGGCGGGCCTGGAGGCAGGACCTGCCTCGGGCGCTCCGCCCGCCCGCCTTCAAGAGCGGGCTTCACTGCCCCCTGGTGGCGGACCCGAAAGCCACTCCCAGCCCAAGCTGCTCTCTCTAAGGGCCCAGGACCGACCTCTGCCCCCAGGCCGGCGTTCCCCGGTGTCCTCCGTGCCCCCCAAACCAGAAGGACCCATACACTTCAAACCTCGGCTACCGATTGAGTGTGCCACGGCTCTCTTTGGGTTCAGGGTGAGCATTCTTAGTTCAAGGTCGCCCACTTAGCCTCCCTGGCGGCGCAAGGGGTTAAGCACAGCGCTATGAAGCAATCTGCAGCCTTTGCAGCACGAGTTCGATCCCAGGCTGGCCAGAGAGAAACCCGTATGGCGAGGCAGACCTCTCCTGTCTCGCCCGCTGCTCCCCTCAGCAATGTACTTAGGTCAATCTGCCTGTTCTGCTCCCCACGCTGTCTCTGGTGAAGCCTCTCACTCCCCACATCTCTGGCCTGCACCCCAGCTCTTGAATGCATAAATAAATAAATCTTTCAAAAAAATTTAAATAAAAGATCGCCCACTTAGCTCAGCCTCCTTGTCGAGTCTCTCAAGTCTCCTCCCAGGTTCTTGATATCCTTCCACAGACGTCTTTTCACAAACAAGCCAATGACAGAAATACATTTTAATGGTCCCCACCCACTTTATTTTTTTTTAGACAAATGGTAACATATTGGACACACTGTGCCTTGCTTTTTTCTACCTAAATAATGTACCTGATACAAGTTTCTATGTTCACATGAGAATCCCCATCCTTATTGTGCAGTTTCAACAGTTACCAGCTCATGGTAGCTACGTTCCAGTTGTGTCGTAGTCCACATTTTAAAAAAAAAAAAAAAACAGGCCTCTGACAGTGATTCCCAACCTTGTATATGCCATGGTGCTTGCATAAAATATTGGAATCCCACACTGAGCTGGAAAGGGTTTTGGATTGTCCCAGGGAAAAATTCATTCCATTTCTATATATTATATTTGTGTTAGAAACAAAATACAACATTTTATAGAGAAGATATGAAATGTTAACTTCGTTTAATACATCCAAATATGTTATTTTAAAATTTGTTTAAGAAATTTGATCTTGTTCCTGGGAATGCAACTTTTTATATGCAGTTTTATAATTAAAAAAAAAAAAGGTTGACACAATCCAGATCAAGTCTTGTAATGATGGTCTCTTAAAATTCTGGGTAGGAGGCAGTGACAAGAGATTTTGTAACTTCCAGTAGGTGATAAAAGAAAAATTTAAACCATTCCACAGTCTGCAATTGAAATTATATTTAAATGCTCCAATAGTTCTTCCCTTTCTTTAATTAGCACATATAATGCTATAATCAAGTGAGTTTCAAATCCAAATGAACTTTTTCATTCTGGGTATTTTAAAATAAAGATGAGTTCCAGAACACAGGCAATGACATAAACTTTCAAGCCCCCCTTTTGGGGAGAAAATTATAACTGTTATGAAACTGCAAGACTACACAGCAAGAAGGAAGAGAGGAAAGGAGGGAGCGAAGAAGGGAGGGAGGGGGAAAGGAAGAACAAAAGGAAGGGCTTTGTAGAAAGGCCATTTAAATTTCTTAAGAATTAACAAGGCGGGCCTCCCTGGTGGCGCAGTGGTTGAGCGCTGGGTTGCGAAGCTGCCCGCAGCCTCTGCGATGCCTGTTCAATCCCCGGCTGCTCCCCGGCCACAGGAGGAGGGTCCCACATGGCGCGCAGACCTCTCCTGCGGCCCGCTGCTCCCCTCAGCAGTGTACTTCGGTCCTTCTGCCTGCTCTGCTCCCCGCTCTGGCTCTGGTGAATTCTCTCACCCTCCCGCGCTTCTGACTGTACCCAGTGCATGTATAAACAAAAAACAAACAAATAAATAAATAAAACATGCCTCTATAAAAAAAAAAAAGAATTAACAAGGCTCTTTATCATGGAATTATTGGAGCTAATTATTCATGTGTGAACCTATGGTTTAAATAATTTAGGAGTGAATTAACACCCCCTATGACCAGAATTCTAACATTAGGGTATGGATATTTATTAAAAAACAAAAGAAAGTCCTCCCTGGTGATGCAAGGGGTTAAGCACCCCACTACAAAGCAATCCACAGCCTTTGCAGCACGAGTTCAATACCCAGCTGGCCAGGGAGCTACCCACAGGGCGAGGCAGACCTCTCTTGTCTTGCCCGCTGCTCCCCTCAGCATTGTATTTCGTCAGTCTGCCTATTCTGCTCCCCACTCTGTCTCTGGTGAATCCTCTCACCCCCTGCATCTCTGGCCTGTACCCCAGCTCTTGTATGCATAAATAAATAAATCTTTAAAAAAAAAAAGAAGACATAAGAATTGTCCATCGCGGAGCCTCCCTGGTGGCTCAGGGGTTAGTCTCAGTGCTATCAAGCTACTGCCAGGCACTACAGAAGGAGTTCGATCTCCAGCGGCCAGGGAGGTGACCCACATGGCACAGCAGACCTCTCCTGTCTCGCCCACTGCTCCCCTCAGCGGTGTATTTCAGGACATCTGCCAGTTCCGCTCCCCACTCTCTGGTGAATCCTCTGACCCCCTGCACCTCTGGTCCAGTTCTTGTATGCATAAATAAATAAATCTTAAAAAAAAAACCACACAAGAATTGTCCATCACTGTACATGACTCCTGAGGGCAGGCTGAGGGCACCTACCTTGGACCCAGCACAACTTGTGAAACTTTGTAGCATACCAGTTGGGAAACTGGTTGAGAAAGGAACAACTTGATAGTTCTCAACTTTTGCTAATCCAAACACTATTGCAATCAACCTGTCCATCCATCATTTTGCACACTGGGTGTGGGAGAAGACTCGCGGCGGGGCTGTGCTTTGGTCATTTTGATGGGTATAACCCAAGCTGGCATCGGGTGAAGCTTGTCCCCTGCCACCTTGCTAACATTGTTAACACTCTTTGATCTTTGTCAGTCTGACCAATGGAAAAATAGTACCCCATATCTTAACTCTTCATTTTTAAAGCTCTAATTGAGGTTGGCATCTTTTAATAATTCGAAAGTCATCTGTATCTCTAATGAGTGAAAGAATCTACATGACCAAGGAAGGCTGTTAACGCACACAAAGGCATCTCCTCTTTCCTGGCAAAATGACACCACACACTCCTGAAATACCCGTGCCCCAAAATCTGATCTGAATCTGCCCAAAGCATCTAAATGTAACTGCCATTTGCGGAAAATACCGGGGACAGAGGGACACAGTAAACAGTACATGAGGAAGCAATCAGTAAAAGGCAGAGTGGGAGCCTGCTCGGGACAATGGCCTCATTTCTGTACTTCCGCTTCCGGGAAGATGGAGCAGATGTACTTTTCCCCTATTTCTCCTGCTAGCTGAAATGAAAAACCCTGGATATAAAACCAGCAGCTGTCTCTTGCATCCTTACTGTCTCTCTGCCCCCTCCGGAGTCTCTGGCTTCTGCCATGAAAGGAATGTGCCCTAAATGCCTGCTGGTCCCAGAACAAGGAGACACATGGAATATTCCTGAGCCCAACTGGTATGGAAAACTCGTGTGTTGAAACTCTAGTTCTCAATACCTCAGAACGTGACAGTATTTGAAGAGAAAGCCTTTAAAGAGTTAAGTTAAAATGAGGCTTTTAGGGCCTCCCTTGTGGCGCAAGGGGTTAAGCACAGCGCTATGAAGCTATCCCCAGCATGAATTCAATCCCCTGCTGGCCAGGGAGCAACCCACATGGCGCAACAGTCCTCTCCTGTCTCACCCACTGCTCCCCTCAGCAGTGTATTTCAGTCAGTCTGCCTGTTCTGCTCCCCACTCTGTCTCTGGTGAATCCTCTTACCCTCTCCCCCACACCTCTGGATTACACCCCAATTCTTATATGCATAAGTGGATAAATCTTTTTATAAAATAAATAAATAAAATGAGGTTTTTAGGGGAAACTTCACCCAACTGACTGGTGTCTTTATAAAAGGGGGAAATTTGGACACACAAAGAGACACAGGGCAAGACCCTGTGAGGATGAGAGGCCAGCCAAGGAGAGAGGCCTCCGAAGACATCCATTCATCATCTTGGACGTCCAGCCTCCAGAACTGTGAGAAAATGCATTTCTGTTGTCAGAGCCCTCCAGTCTGTGTTACTGGGCAAGACTTCCTCCCCAGGTGCTGTGCCAGTTAGCCGTGTGCTGCCTCTCCTCAGTGCCTGCTCTGAGGAAGTGAACTGGCTCCAAGCTTTCTTTACAGTGAGATGCTCAACTTTGCCAGAAGAGGGTGCTAGAGGAGACATTTTAGGAGGAGGGTGGGGGGTGTGTGTGTGTGTGTGAGCGCGCGCGTACACGTGTGTGTGCACATGCTTGCGTGTGTCTTCTTGCTCCTGCTATGTAGTTGGTCAGCAGTGTGTGAGGACATCCGCCTCAACCTTGGGCCCAGTATCAGCAATCTTGCAGCCTCCAAGCCTGAGGTCCAGCTTCTTGCAGCCCTCCTAATGCAGACATCACACACAGTAGGCCTCATCTCTTCAGAGGGGCCCTCATCCCACCTACCCACCTGCCTCTCTTCCCTCTGTCTCCGAGGACCGCTTGCAGCTTGGCCAAGGTATATAGACCAGCTCCAGCCTAGGCAACCCAGCCAACCGCCACCCCCACAGCTTCTCCAGGGAGGTCTGCGCCCTGGCTTGGGGAAGGCACTCCCCTTCCCAGTGTATCCTTCCTTCACGCTCTCCCTCCAGCCCCCTTCAGTGTTCTCTTTTCCTCCTTACAGTGACTCTCTGGTGTGAGCTTAATATACTTTATGTACAACAGCCCTTGGCTAAATCACGGTGTGGTTCTTTCTCCTGGCTGCACTGCCTCTGTACAGGACACCGAAGCCCGCGGCTCCGCCACCCCTGCTCCTCCTTTCCGCTCTCCTCCCTCTGCTGTCAGACCCCGTCCCAGCCTAAATGTCCTCACTGCCTGCTTCTGCTGCTCTCTCCTTTATCCCTCACAGACGTTTCCCCCAAGAAATCTCTTCACCTCTTTAATGCCTTCTTGGCAAGTGCTCCTCAGACAACCTAAACTAATACAGCTGCCAATCACATTGAGAATAAAACCCCACGAGGGGTCCTCGCCTGGTGGTACAGCGGTTGAGCACTGGGCTGCGAAGCTGCCCGCAGCCTCTGCAGTGCCGGTTCCATCCCCAGCCACCAGCAAGGGTCCCACATGGTGCACAGACCTCTCCTGGCGCCCGCTGCTCCCCTCAGCAGTGTACTTCGGTCCTTCTGCCTGCTCTGCTCCCCGCTCTGGCTCTGGTGAATTCTCTCACCCTCCCATGCTTCTGACTGTACCCAGTGCTTGTATAAATAAATAAATAAATCTTTTTAAAAATGAAAAGTCGGGCCTCCCCGCTGGCGCAGCGGTTGAGCGCTGGATTGCGAAGCTGCCCACAGCCTCTGCAGCGCTGGTTCGATCCCCGGCTGCTCCCCGGCCACCAGAGGAGGGTCCCACATGGCGCGCAGACCTCTCCTGCCGCCCGCTGCTCCCCTCAGCAGTGTACTTTGGTCCTTCTGCCTGCTCTGCTCCCTGCTCTGGCTCTGGTGAATTCTCTCACCCTCCCGTGCTTCTGACTGTACCCAGTGCTTGTATTAATACTTAAATAAATCTTTAAAAAAAATGAAAAACCTCACAAGGTCCCCTATTATTGCTTTCCATCCCAAGGTCAGCCCCTTGTCCCCAACACACACCTTCTTACCACTCTGCAAGTCACCGCTCCAGTCACTGTGGCCTCTTTGAAGGCCCACGATGATGAGGGGCAAGATAAGCCACTTTCCAGGGGCTGCCAGCCCAACGAATTAGGGAGGACTTCCTGGAGGAGTCCAGATTAAAGCTGAGTCTTCTCTTTTTGTTTAAGATTTATTTTTATTTATTTATGCATACAAGAACTGGGGTGTGGTCCTGAGGTGTGGGGGATGGGGTGAGAGGATTCACCAGAGATAAAGTAGGGAGCAGAACAGGCAGATCCACTGAAATCCACTGCTGAGGGGAGCACTGAGCGAGACAGGAGAGGTCAGGGATGAACTCAAGCCGTACAGGTGATAGCACTGAGACTTAAACCCGTAGGCCACCAGGGAGGCCCTGATTTTGATTTTGTTGAGAGCTGATCTGTATTCCCAAGTACTCTATAAGAAAGGTTACTTTAATTGGCTTTAGTACAAGGAAACATTATGAAAAATAAATCTTGCAGAAGAATAGACAACAAAAAGGGGAAGAAAGTCCACCTTTAATAAAAGTCCTCAGGGCCTTTGCACTTGCTGTTCTCTCTTTGATGCAAGGCTTGTTCCCTCATTTCATTTGGGCTTTGTCTCAGGTACCACCTCCTCTCAGAGGCCTTCACATGCCACCTCCAGTTCCCCTTTCACTCTATCCCTTTCCCCTACTTTATTTTATTTCTTCATAGCACTTATTACTACATACTGTGATAAAGCACACATACTCATTTTTTGTCTCCCTTCATAAAGGAATGCCTCTTCTGCAGGCCCAGAGGCTTTGTCTTGTTCACAGTTGCATCCCCCAGGGCCTGGCACAAAGTCAGTGCTCAGTAAATATTTGTTAATTAACTGTATAAAAGAATGTCCCTGCCTCTGCTCTGGCCATTCCCTCACGTGTAATGCCTTCCCTTCGGCATCCTGCTTTTCTTAATTGCTCCTATCCTTTAAGACTCACCCTTTGGGCCTCCCCGGTGGCGCAGCGGTTGAGCGCTGGGTTGCGAAGCTGCCCATAGCCTCTGCGGCGCCGGTTCGATCCCCGGCTGCTCCCCAGCCATCAGAGGAGGGTCCCACATGGCGCATAGACCTCTCCTGCCGCCCGCTGCTCCCCTCAGCAGTGTACTTCAGTCCTTCTGCCTGCTCTGCTCCCCGCTCTGGCTCTGGTGAATTCTCTCACCCTCCCGCGCTTCTGACTGTACCCAGTGCATGTATAAACAAACAAACAAACAAACAAACAAAAAAAGAACTGGTCACTAAAGTCTTTTAAAAAAAAAAAAAAGACTCACCCTTAAGATCTCCCTGGTGGCACAAGAGGTTAAGTCTGAGCACTATGAACTATCAGCAGCCACTGCAGCCAGAGTTAGATCCCCAGCCAGGGAGCTACCCACATGGCGCAACAGTCCTCTCCTGTCTCGCCCACTGCTCCCCTCAGCAGTGTATTTCAGTGGATCTGCCTGTTCTGCTCCCCACTCTGTCTCTGGTGAATCCTCTCACCCCATCCCCCACACCTCAGGACTACACCCCAGTTCTTGTATGCATAAATAAATAAAAATAAATCTTAAACAAAAAGAGAAGACTCAGCTTTAATCTGGACTCCTCCAGGAAGTCCTCCCTAATTCGTTGGGCTGGCAGCCCCTGGAAAGTGGCTTATCTTGCCCCTCATCCACTACATTGCCTAATTTGGAGTATAATGTAGGCTTTATAAAAGCCATAGAGGTAAAAACTGAGGTGGAGATTGAAGGCAGAAGAGAACAGGCCAGCTTTATTGGGGCTAAGGAGAGAGGAGGAGCCTCCATGGGCTCCGGGCAGGGAGGGCTGCAGGGAGGGCTGCAGGGAGAGCAGTGAGGATGAGGCATCACTTCTTCCACTCCTTCTTCTCATAGTCCCAGCGGGAGGCCAGGCCTTGCACGGGGTTGCCCTTCATGTCCAGGATGCGCTGCAGCTGCTGGGCCTTCCACTCATCCGTCAGGGTGATGGGCTTCTTAGGGAAAACTGCAGGGAGCATGGGGGAGGGGCAGGGTGGGCCAGGGCCCTGCCAGGGCCGCCCCTCCTGAACCAAGAGCTCCAGTCAAGGGTGGGGGCCTTGTACTGCAGAGCCCCCCTGGGGGCCCATCCCCTCTCTTCAACCTTCACTCTGGAGACCCCTGAGTTCTGATGCCAGCTCTGCCATAGTCTCACAGTGGGAAACAGGCCAAAGTCCTTCCCCTTTCTGAGTCTCAGTTTCCTCACCGGCTCTGTGATCCCCACGGTAATAAGCACTGATTTCAAGTCAGCCTGAATGCAAATCCCAGTGCCACACCCCCTTGCTTTGCGATCTGGAGCAAGTCCCTCCATCTTGCTGAGCCTCTGTTTCCTTTCCCTTCCCTCCCCTGGGTCCTATTCCGTAGGATTAGGGGGAGTGAATGAGTTGGCACTCTCTGGCAATTGGCGCAATGTGGGGCAAATATAAACACTTAATACATGGAAGCTACTAAATTATAATCACTGAATTTGCATTTCTAACACATTCTCAAGTGAAGCTGTCGGTTCAGGGACCAACATTTGAGAGTCACTCTTCTGTGATAATAAAGTCCACCCAGCTAAAGACTACATTTCCCAGCTTCCCCTTGGCTAGATAAGGTCATGTGATCATTTCTAGACAAAAGGTTGTGAGCAGAAGCGGTATGTGCAACTTCTGGAGCTTAAAGAGTAGTGTGTCGACCCTTTCCCTCTTCTTGGCTGCAGTGTTGGCTTTATGGCAGAAACTGGGCAGCCATCTTGTATGTCAAGAAGAAAGTTGTGGGCCTCCCCGGTGGCGCAAGGGGCTAAGTTTCAGCACTATCAAGCTATCGGCAGCCACTGCAGCACGAGTTAGGTCCCTGGCCAGGGAGATAACCCACATGGCACAGCCGACCTCTCCTGTCTTGCCCACTGCTCCCCTTAGCAGTGTATCTCAGTAGATCCATCTGTTCTGCTCCCCACTCTGTCTCTGGTAAATTGTCTCACCCCCACATTTCTGGTCTGCACCCCTGTTCTTGTATGCATAAATAAATAAAAATAAATTTAAAAAAAAGAAGAAAGTTACATGTTGAGGATAGCAGAGCAACAAGACAGAGGAGCCTAACATGGTGGTGTGTCTGTTTCCCCATACTAGATTGCTTCCTTGGCCTTTTTGGAGAGAGGCACAAACTCCTATCTCATTGAAGCTTTTGTATGTTGGGGATTCTCTGTTACAGCAGCTGAAACAATATACTGAAAAATTCACGTTAATAACAGCATGCGGTAATGATTCCACCCACGACAACATGCCAGGAAATGGCCTATAGCTCTCTCGTCAAATCCTCACAAGAACCCTGAAATGTGGACACTATTCCATTTCACAGGTAAGGAAATTGAGGTCCAGAGAAATAGAGTCCTCAAATTCCAACTCATGCAGCTATGCTCTGTCCTTCACCCTATACCTCTTTGGAGGACTTTTCAAAACTCTTCAGGTGAGTGCCAGCATAGAACCTGGCTGGTGGCTGCAGCCACAGGGCATGGCCCAGGGCTGCAGCCAGGTGAAGCATTGCACTCACCATAGATCCGCTGCCACCAGATCATTAGAGCTGTGAATCCAAAGAAGAAGAAGACGCAGCCCATCACTGTCTTCCACTCATTGGAGCGACGGTTCATCTCTGCGAAGGTCTCATGGAACTGGAGCCTGTACACTGGAGCCAGGGAGGTAGGCAAGAAGGAGACCCAGGTGCATCCATTCCAAGGACCCTGGGCCAACTCTTGGCCCCAGGGATCCCCAGCCTTCTCTTCTCTGCAGGAGGTGCAGTTCATTCAGCTAATTCTTAAACATCTGCTTATGTAAAGTGTGGCCAGGATTTGGTGACAGAGCAATGAATAAACCAGATGAAAATTGTGGGGGAGACAGCTGGCACATGCGTTAGACTGGGAGCAGGGCCTATTTTAGTGAGGGTGGCCACAGAAAGTCTCTGAGGAAGCAACACTGGAATTTAGGCTTGAAGAATCAAAGAAAGAGAGAGGCATCTAACAGTTACAAGAACATGCAAAGGCCCTAAGGCAAGAAGGAATTCAGGGCCTCCCTGGTGGCGCCAGGAGTTAAGACACAACCTATGAAGCTATCCGCAGCCACCGCAGCATGAGTTCAATCCCCCAGCCCACCAGGGAGCAACCCACAAAGCGCAGCAGACCTCTTGCTGCTCCCCTCAGCAGTGTACTTTGGTCAATCTGCCTGTTCTGTTCCCCGCTCTGTCTCTGGCAAATCCTCTCATCCCCCACACCTCTGGCCTGTACCCCAGTTCTTATATGCATAAATAAATAAATCTAAAAAAAAATGTGTGTGGCTCTTTCTCAGTACATAAATAAATACGAAAATAAATATCAAAGGAAGCAGAATGGCAGCAGAATTCCTTGGGGAGTGGAACTGTTTTTGGTTTTGGCAAGACCCTTGGGGGGGGCAGTTCAGATTGAGGCAATGAGATCAAACATCAGCAGTGTGGATTCCCAGAGGGCAAGGGCTGTGGTGGGAGGGGCTCTGGGAGAGGAGAAGAAGCAATAAGCTGTGAGGAAGCCAGGCCAGCAGCAAGTGAGGCCAAAGGCCCCGGCCCGGCCTTGTCTTGTGGTCAGAGTCAGTTGTTTGCTGAGCTCTGAGGCCTTCTAATAACTCGCCAAGGTCCCCCCAAGTCTTCAGTATGGAGAGTGGTGTGACAGCTAAGAGGGCACCCCTGGTGCCAGTTCGTAGGGTCCACCTCCTACCTCCTCCACTCTGCAGCTGTGCTGCCCTCCTCAGTGACTCACAGCCCTGAGCCTTCGCCCCTCAAAGGTGAGCAAATGAGAGAAACTGTATCCACAGCAGCACCACTGCCTGGTGAGCGGGGCATCTGGCTGTGTGCGTGTCATATTGGGAAAATAGAGAAATCCATTTCTGAAATGAATGGAGAGAGGGAGGCCGAGCGGCTGCAGAGACTGCGAGGCAGGAATAACCTGAGAGGGCTGGAAATGCCGACTCACAGGGGCAAGGCTGGGACTGGTGCCCTCACAGCTGTATTCCCCGGGCCCAGCACAGGAGGGGGTGCTCCAGTCTGGAGAGGCTGAATGAATGTGAGAGGACTGAGCCTCTCCCCACCAGGGCCCCCCTGCAATGCTGGAGGTGAGCCTGGATTCCCTGTCTGTCTCATCAAAGAGTCGGCCTGGGGCACCTTCTGGTGGGCAGGGTTTCAGTTTAAATATCCTCCGGCTCCCAGGATGAGGCCGCTGCCCCTGGCCACCTCTGCTGCCTTTCCCTGCTCAGCCCCCCACACGCTGGTGATACCCAAGACCCTCTGGGCTTTCTTGCTCCCACATCCTCCCTGGTGCTGATCTCACCGCCTGGCAGCACCCTCCCCCTCAACCCCTGCCCCAAGGCCAGCTGAATACACCCCCCTCCACTGGAAGGCCCGTGAGGATTTCATCTCCCTTCCTTTTGGGCCCTCACAGTCCCTTGAGTACCCCTCACTCTTGCCAAGATTCTGTATTACAGTTATCTGGGTCTGGGTTGATTCCCCCATGGGGCTGGGGCACCCTGAGAGCAGGAGCCATGGAGGTAACTCAGTTCTGCGGCCCGAGCTCCGGGCTATCAAAGGACAGACGAATGGATTTACCCTCAGCTACACATCTGGGCGTCTGGGGATTTCGGGCTGTCTTGGTGGGGGCCCTCCTGGCCCACCCTCTACCCCCTGACAGCCACCCAGCCCGCTCTCCCCCACCAGCCCCCCAACCTACAGGCCACCTTCTCAGCATGGCTCAGCTGGGTCCAGCTGCCCTTCTCCTTCTCCTTCAGGGCCCGCTGCTCGGCGCTGAGCTCCGTGCAGAAGGGCTCGTCCGGCATGGGGTAGGAGCGCTGGGCGTGGAAGTTGGTGTAGGGGGGCATCTTCCCTTGCCTGTGAGCTGTGGGCACAAGGGAGGAGCTGAGTCCAGGCTGCCCTGGCTGTCCCAGCTCTAACCAAATATGTAGCAGGAGGGCCTCCCTGGTGGCGCAGCGGTTGAGCGCTGGGTTGCGAAGCTGCGCGCGGCCTCTGCGGCGCCGGTTCGATCCCCGGCTGCTCCCCGGCCACCAGAGGAGGGTCCCACATGGCGCGCAGACCTCTCCTGCCGCCCGCTGCTCCCCTCAGCAGTGTGCTTCGGTCCTTCTGCCTGCTCTGCTCCCCGCTCTGGCTCTGGTGAATTCTCTCGCCCTCCCGCGCTTCTGACTGTACCCAGTGCATGTATAAACAACAAAAACAAACAAACAAACCAGCAAACAAATAAATAAAGCATGCCTCTATAAAAAAAAAAAAAAAAAAAAAAACAAATATGTAGCAGGAGGCGACAGTTTTTGAGCATTTACTATGTGCCGAGAGCCACGCTAAGGCCCTCTGGGGAATGACTCATTTGTTCCAAGGTGACTCGGAGCCAGCAAGAAGGAGCAAGGGCCGGGCTGCAAGTGAGCCTCTCGGACCTCAAAGCCCATGTTCTCTGGGAAGTCATGAGGTGAGGAGGCCCAGGGTCAGTGAGGTGAGCCTGAGGTGACAGATGCAAAACTTCTCTACAAACTGTGAAGCGCTGTCCACACACCTTTGGTGAATGGCCCTGGGCATGGCTTTGGGGTCAGCAGGGTCTGAGTTGTTCCACCCAGGGCTTCAACAAGCTCTTCCTTTTACTGTGCTTCAGTGCCCTTATCTGGAGAGTGGGCATAAGAGGGTCTACCTCACCAAAAGCATTATTCATAAGTAATGCTGGTAAGCAGAGGTGGGCTTGACTTGCTGGCATTCCTAGGTTTCCCCGATGCCTGTCTGGAGGCCTCCAGGTGGGTGCGCAGGGTGCCCAGGACAAGACTGGGTCTCCGGGAAGCTTCTGCTTATTGTCACCAGAGATGCCCAGAGGAGGGCATTGGCACCACCTTGCTGGGACAGCCCTGGAACTGCTTTGGGCAAGAAGTCCTAGGTCTCTCAGCCTCTGTTCATTCACCGAGAAGTGGAGCGTCCACCTCACCTGGCTGTTGTGAAGTCTGGATGTGTTCATCTGTGTAAAACGCTTGTCACAGCTCGGGATACACAGTACGGGCTTGATAAATACTATCCTTGCTATTCTCCTGAGGGTGAGAAATGCCCTCTGCTCCCCAGCTAGGGTCTCTCCTGGTTTAGGCCTCTTCTAACTAGAACTGATTACACGATCTCGAAAGGGCTCACGGTTCTGTCAGCAACCTCCACATTAGGACACGAAGGGTTTCGGGGCCCAGGGTTTGAAGGTCAGGCCAGGAGGAAACTTGGGATGCAAAGGTTGCTGTCTGCTTGCCCCGTGGGCCCCTCTTCCTGGAGCACCGTGACCCAGGACCAAGGACCGGGGACCCAGGGAATGGTTTCAGGGTCAGCCCAGGGCAGCACAGGCTGTGGCAAGTGGCAGTCCACAGACAGGACCCCTACTTCCAGCCTTGGAGTTGGGGAGGAGAGGGGGTGTCCAGTACTTACCTGGGCCTCCTGGGTTGTGTATCCCTCGAATTCCAAGTCCTCCTTTCTTCAGCACCAAACTCCAGGTGGCTCTGAAGAACATCTTGGGGGGGTGTGTGGATGAGTTCTTCCCCCTTCCCCCCCCGCCAAGTTGCCCCCTGTCTGCAACGCTCAGGGCTCAACCAAGAAACGGGCTTTCATAGAGCGATCCCAGGACTTCAGAGTCACCCTTATGCTCCGGACCCTTCCAATTTTGTCTGCTATCCCTATAGGCGGAGAGGGTACCCTAGACATTTAGCGCCCCCTCCCTCCTGGGAGGGACCTCAACTCACCGCCTTCAGTGGGAGGAGGTCTAACCCTAAGGGGTCTGGTTCCAGCCCCAGCTCACCATGGTCAGGGTGGGGAAACCTCCTTCAGTCGCTTGTCCCACCGGAGGAACTGGAACTGGGTGGGATCCAGATAGGGAGGGAGCGGTCCTGGGACGGCTTCTCTCCCCAGCAGGGCCATCTGCCAAGGGCTCTGCACAGGCCTCAAGTTCTGGCCCCCACCCCTTCCCCACTAATTGGCTGCCTACGTGCTGGGAGCCGGCTCTGCTGGATCTGGTGAAGGAAGGGGACAGGCTGAGCCCAACCCCCACCCCAGGAAGTCCCAGGGTCTGGCATCCCATGGGGTGGGGGGCAGGGAACGGAGAGGAGCTTTAGAGGAAGACAAGAACCAAACTGGGTTAGTGAGAGACAGAGGAACACACATCTGGGAAGAGGGAGGGGGATCCCATGTCAGAGAAAGGGCCCCCACATCGGGGGAAAGAAGCACCCAGTAATTAGAGAGGGAAAGGGCATATGGTATGGGGTAACTGGGAGGGGGCCCCATATCTGGGAAGCAGGGGCTCCCCATCAGTGATCAATGGGTAAGAAAGCCCCATGTATCAGAGAGGGAGCGGTAATCTGCATCTGGGGAGAGATGGCAGCCACACAAGGGCGGCTCCTCAGCTCTGACTGGCAGCGGGGAGCCCACCCAACCCTCTTCTGTGGCAGGGCCCACCCACCTACTCACTCACTCACTCACTCACTCACTCACTCACTCACTCACTCACCTCCCAGCTCAGTGGCAGCTCTGCCCAGCCTCTGCCCAGCCAGGATTAACCAAGAGCCCGCCCAGGGATTAACAGAAAACAGACTGAGGAGTGACCAGAGAGCTGGTGCTGCCCCTACCGCCCGCTGCCTCTCCCAGGGCCGCCCCTGCCCTGCATGGGAACGTCCTGCCCCCAAGGGCTTAGGAGCATCCCTGGGGGAAAAGACTGCAGAGTAGGTCCCTGCTTCAGTCTCCCCTCTGAAGACCCCAGCTGACAGCATCCTGGGCCTCAGCTTTCTGTGCGTGTGGGCTGGCCCAGCCCTCTGAGTTGGGCAGTCCGAGAAGCTGGAGCTTGCTGCCTCCAAACCTTTGCTCATTGCTTTTCTTTCCATCTGGAATGCTCTCTTATGACCTTTACAAACCCAAGACTTGCTGTAGGGTAAGGAAAAATGTCAGGCTTTTCTGCCCTCCCGCCATCAGGATAGATGAGGGATCCTTGCGGGCCTGAATGCATGCCTGACGGCGGCCACCTGGAGTAGGGGGTGGGCGTAGGTCGATGGGATTCACCTGGGCTAAGAGACTGGTTTACAAGGGTGGCGCAGCAGCGTGCAGTGCGGTGGGGGTGCGGTGGCGTGCACGGAGGAGTGTGGTGACTACGAACAACGGTGAAGAGCACGTGGCTGCTAGAACCGTTCATAAACCTACCCCGGATGGGTTGGTTGCGTTACAATTGGCGAAAGTCGGCGAGATGATCCATGCAGACGGGAATGGAGCCCTCCGAAGACCTGAGGGACTAAGGAGTAACAGACTGTGTTTCCCCGTGACGACGCTGGAGGCGTCATGACAGCACAGGAGAGGGACAAGGTCCGGGAGCTGCGGGACGAGACCGCGCGTGGAAGAGGCATCCGAGAGGACCAGCCAACGACCCCTGAGGCAGCAAGAATCATCACCAGGGAAGAGAGAACCACGATTCGGAGCTCGCTGGTGCTGATGGCAGAGAGAGGCCTAATGGACTTGGACTGATGAACTTGGACTGACAATCCCGCCAGAAGGTGGAGGAACCTTGGCAGGTTGTTACATTTTTGGGGCCCTGGGGGAGGATGCTATTGTTTGTACACCCCAGGAGATGGGAATCTGGGGGTGGCCAGTGGGCCTAGATGGCCAAAAGCAGCCTGTGCATGCCCAGCAGCCAGGCGGAGGAGAAAAGCCAACTGAGAAGGCAAAAGCTGGTGCTATGCTGAGTTTGGGAGCCCTGAGTGGCTGCTAAGCACTGTGTAAGTTGAGGAAGGCCAGTGAGTCTCGTAAAATCACCTGTGGGTGATGCCCTGCTCGTTCTCCAGTGAGGGTGAGGCGCTGAGGAATCCGTCCTTGGGGGATGGGTGGGGAACATGGCTTGGGGTGGAGCCCAAGCTGAAGAGGGGACCCAAGAGAGGCCGCATGTAGAGTTTGGATCCCCGACCCATGTGCTTGTGCAGTGGGTTGGCCTGAGTGCAGGGGTCTGCGTGTCGCATTGGTGGCTATGAAGGCTGAATGTTGGAGCGGCTGCAGACAGAAACCCTGAGGGTTGGGCGATTACCCCCAAAGAGAAGAGAATCCCCAATCCAGAAGTGAGTGCATCCTGGGGGTGGATGCTGTGTGTGGCTTATAGCCAAGATTACAGCCAGAGAAGGTCAGGAAGCCTGATGGCTCCTGGCATGTGACAGAGATGTCTGAGTGATTTCCCCTCCCTCGTATGAGCAGTGCCTTCAGCAGCAGATGTGGTGGATCATCTGTTGGTACCAATAATTGTCTTTTGCCACTAGATTGTTGCCCTGCCTGGACTTATTTGTATTCTGTTGTATTTTGTTATATTGTGATGTATTTCATTTACTTTCGTGGGCCATGGCTGCAGTGTTCATATTGCCAAGAGACATGTGTTTATGACTTGTATATAGAGACTGATAAAGACCTCTCCTGCCGCCCGCTGCTCCCCTCAGCAGTGTACTTCGGTCCTTCTGTCTGCTCTGCTCCCCGCTCTGGCTCTGGTGATCTCTCACCCTCCCGTGCTTCTGACTGTACCCAGTGCTTGTATAAATAAATAATAAATAAATAAATCTTAAAAAAAAACAAAACTATTTGGCAGAAAACCCTGAAGGGGTGGACTGTAGGGTAAGGAAAAATGTCAGGCTTTTCTGCCCTCCCGCCATCAGGTTAGATGATGGATCCTTGCGGTCCTGAGTGCATGCCTGATGGCGGGCACCTGGAAGTAGGGTGTGGGCATAGGTAGATGGGATTCACCTGGGCAAAGACTGGGCTTTTAAGGGTGGCGTCAGGGGGATGCCAGCAGCAGCAGAAGCCGAGAGAGAAACAGAGAATGCCGGAGAGCCCAGATAGAGTGAAAACTTGCTGGGGGCTGGGAGGCCTGCCAGCCCTCCAACACCCCTACCTGCCATATGCCTGGCAAATCTATTTTTTTTAAGATTTATTTATTTATACAAGCACTGGGAACAGTCAGAAGCACGGGAGGGTGAGAGAATCCACCACAGCCAGAGTGGGAACAGAACAGGCAGACTGACGAAGTACACTGCTGAGGGGAGCAGCGGGCGCGACAGGAGAGGTCTGCACACCATGTGGGACCCTCCTCCGGTGGCCGGGGAGCAGCCAGGGATCGAACCAGCGCTACAGAGGCTGCAGGCAGCTTCGCAACCCATTGCTCAACTACTGCGCCACCGAGGAGGCCCTGCCTGGTAAATCTTAATAAAAGACCTGCAAAAAGCCACTGAGGACTCTGACTCCTCCTTTACCTGGCCTGCTGGATCATAGAAAACCTGCTCAGTGGTCATTCCTGACCTTATACTTGCCAACCATTCAGTCCATGCCCAAAGCATCCTGCTCCAGGAAGGTTACATGTATCTTGGAGCTGGTCTGTGGTGGATGATCTGACTCCCATGTCCCATTGGTGAAAAAGCTGCCCTAGAGCTTTTTCTGGAGTTCAAAACTTAGCTGTGTGACCTTCAACAAATGGCTTAACCCCTCTGAGCATCTGTTTCCTTTTTTTTTTAAAGATTTATTTACTTATGCATACAAGAACTGGGGTATAGGCCAGAGGTGTGGGAGGGTGAGAGGATTCACCAGAGACAGAGCAGGGAACAGAACAGGCAGATAGACCAAAGTACACTGCTGAGGGGAGCAGCGGGCAAGATAGGAGAGGTCTGCTGCGCCATGTGGGTTGCTCCCTGGCCAGCTCATGCTGCAGAGGCTGAAGACAGCTTCATAGGTTGTGTCTTAACCCCTTGCACCACCAAGGAGGCCCGCACCTGTTTTCTTTTTATGAAAAGGAGTTAATGATAGTTTCTACTTCACATGACTCTTGTAAAAATTAAGTCAATAGAAAACACATTCAGTACATGTATTCTAGATGTATTTGTTAAGGCTATTACAGCTGACAGTTATTGTCTGTTGCTTACCAGGTTAAGTGCATGGAGATATACAGCCAAACAAACCTAAAATAGTTCTGCCCTTTCAAGGTTTATAACCCAGTTCCCAGCAGAGAGAAAGGCCTGCACAAAGGCCCCCAGAGAGGACAACACAGGCGCAACAAAAAAAGAGACCATCTTGACCAGAGTGTAAGTGGCAAAGGGGAGCATTGGCGAGGGAATGGACTACCAGGCAGGGCCTCATAGACCATGGTGAGGATCTTGGATTTTATTCTAAAAATGAGAAGCCACCAAAGGTAAGTAGGGGAGTGATGTGGTTAAATGGAGCAGAGCATGAGTTCAGTAAATGTGGCCTGGGATTAGAATACTGGTGGTGGGGCCTCCCTGGTGGCGCAAGGGGTTAAGCACAGCACTATAAAGCTATCTGCAGCCACTGCCGCAGGAGTTCCATCCCCGGCTGGCCAAGGAACAACCCACATGGCACAGCAGACATCTCCTATCTTGCCCTCTGTTCCCCTCAGCAGTGTATTTCGTCAGTCTGCCTGTTCTGTTCCCCAATCTGTCTCTGGTGAATCCTCTCACCCACCTGCATCTCTGGCCTGTACCCCAGCTCCTGTATGTATAAATAAATAAATCTTTTTTTAAAAAAAAGAATACTGATGGTGGACTAATGAATGAAGGCTATGGGTCCCTTCCTTAGCCTGGGACCCAAAATTTCTAAGCCACCCAGCTCTGGGCCATTTGGTGGGTCCAGCCCCTCCCCCCCACACACACACACATCCATCCTATAGCTCAGAGAGGATATAGAAACCACTCCAGCCAGTGTCTAGAGGGAGGACAGATGAGTCTAGAAGGGCAGGGAAAGACCCTAGATTGGACAGGATCTAATCACCTCAACTCCCTACTTCAGCAGCAACTCACGCAAAGGAGTTGCCCAGCTCTCCAAGGGGCCCCCGGCTGCCAGCATTAGCCTTGCAGGGTCCAGAGCCCCCTAGTGGTTACTCCTGGGAGCTGCTCCTCCCCCTTGGGCAGGACCAAGAGAATTCCAGATTTAAGAGGTCCCCAAAAGGACCACCTTACTTGCTGGCAGCTGATGTGGGTGTCCTGAAGAGTAACTCTGGACAGAGGGCAAGGGAAGACCCTGCTTTAGGCAACTAAGGGGAGAGCACTTGAGTCTTGCTCGCCTTTTCCAGGGTAAGCAGGCAGAGGCCGTGGGAGTAAGGGACTGATGTGTGTTGGGCTCTACCACCTGCACACTGGGTGGCCAGGCAACGCCATTCCTGGGCCTGCCCCCATCTCTCACAGGCCCACAAAGGAAAGGCATCTGGGCACAGTAGTCTCTGTTCTGCCTGACCTCTCCCACGGCCCCCCTCTGTGGGAACCCAGATGTAGGGTGATGCTGTGATAAGGGACATCTGTAGAGGACGTCAGCCGCCAGGGCTGAGGGCTATGGGTGGAAGGCTGGCCCCTAGCAGCTCAAGTCAATATAGGGCAGTCGGACGACCGTCTTTGGGGCCATGCGGATCAGTGTCCAGAGGTCCCAAACCTGGGAGTAGATGAGCTCTCCCACAGGCAGGTCACTCAGGGGTCCCAGGGCCGAGGAGTCTTCTCCAAGAGTCTTGGTGAACACGAGAGA